CACTTGGGAATGTTGCTCGAGTTAAGAAAAGCGCGCAAAATCACTCGCCTTCGGCTCGTGTTTTCGCGCGCTTTTCTTAACTCTCGCAACATTCCCGCCTGTTTGGATCAGGCCATCCAAACACGGAAACCATAAAGTAATTGTATATTGTAAAAGCCTTATACTGTAGGCTTGCTGTCGAATGCAATTCAAACAATAGATAATGAAGCTTAATGAGGTTTATCATCTCATTATCTAGTGTCTTAATTGCATTCGAAGCAACCGAAATTCGACGTATGAAACACTAGGCCTTGTTCGTTCTCTTTATAGTTCCGGGCTTGTAAAATTCATTAATAAATTAATCATGAAAAATTTAAAAGAACTCAATATTTAATTAGTTAATTGTTGTATCCACCGATACAGGGATGTCTCAAAGAAAATAGACCCTTTTGTTGTACTTGTAAACACCCAAACTTCATTAGATCTGATGTACCTCTGGAAGTTTAGAATGAATAATTGTAATCGTATGAACTTATAAAACTGCATAAATTGTACATGAAAATTCTAATTGAAAGTTAAAACGACTAAGAAATTAGTAATTAAAAACGGTCCAATTAACCGACTACAGTTTAAATTAATCAGCAAATCATATTCATTTGCGCATTAATAATTAATTAATACAAGGGAATGTAAAACTTTGAATGTAAATAATGCTTGACCCCAAACGCATCCATGCAGGCCGTTTAGCCAATACGAAAAAAGGAACAGAGTATATTAAAGAATAATAATAGCCCAGTTCAAACTGTTCCTCCTAGACGTTCAGTAAAGCCTCTCATATTCTGAATGTGTCCTCCTGGGGGAAGCCTAAACTAAACTAAAAAAGCTATTTTCCTTTTCGTGATGTTATCAGACTTTGATAGTTATGTTCATCTTTCCGATCTTGCAAAGTATTTCTCCTCAGAGGCTCATAGTTCGATGCCTCTTCGTTTTGATGACCTAACAAAAAAATGGCACGTGCCAGAAGAATTATAGAGAAGCATGATAATATGGATAGCTTTATACTGGACAATTCTGTTGATCTTATTAATGATCCAGTGTTACTACAGAAGGAAACTTAACTAAACTAAACTAACTTTACTTGTATACTGGGTAACTTGATCAGTTCTAAACTGTTCCACTTCCTAGAGCTCCAGTAAGGGTCATCTCTTATTGATCGGCCAGTGTTGCTACAGAAGGAAACCTCAGAAACTAAACTAACTTTATAGTTATACTGGATAGCTCTATCAGTTCTAAAGGGACTAGCTAACAGTCGTGGGTCGTGGGTCGTGGGTAGAATGGCGTGGGTCGTGGGTAGAATGGCGTGGGTCGTGGGTAAAAAGGCGTGGGTCGTGGGTAAAAAGGCG